CGCTACACTTTACCCCTTCATCCAAATCCACTTTCCGGCAGTCGAAAATCTTATTCAAGGACTTTTGAAACGAATCTGATTCCTTTTCACTCCAAAACCTAGAAGCCCATAGTTCTTTCCTCGGTTTAGGCTCAGCTTACAGCGCTGGATTCTTCGGTTCTCGAATTATCAAGCCAAAAATCCAGGAAGGGACCCGTGGTCTTCAAAGATTTTATCGTAGAATAGAATGCAACAGACGCATAACTGTCATGTCCAACGCAACTCAGTTTACGACATACCCTCTTTCCAGGCAGAGATCCTGTAGATATATACGATGCATGGGGAAGACATCTTCTGCCAACCGAACTGGCTGTGCCGCTACCTGGGTGTATTGCGTCATAACCCGGTGCTGAAGGCGGAGCCAACAATCGGGTTACTGTGGGAGCAAAAAGTTCTTACTAAATTTTCTCTTCTCGCCCTTAAATTCGCATGTTAGAGGGAATGTGTCGAATGTATCTCTCTTTGTTCATAGGCCCAAAATAGACCGTTCTGGTGATCTCGAAATTTTAGAGTTTCGATTTCTTTTTCCTCTGCTTCAAGTAGTCAGTGTGTGTCAAGTCGTGCGTCCGAGGGTGCGCGCGGCGAAGTTTGTGGCGAATTTGGATGACTGCGGCGTTCATCATTGGGGCCCAAATCTGAAGTAGGGTAGATTAGTAAGGTGAGCTGATCCTACTGTTTTACTGTACTTCAAAATTGGGCCCAAATAATAGGCGCCAAAGCCGCCAGAATAAGTATGAACTTTGCCGCGCCATTTGTCGCGCTCGCCTTCGGACGCACAACTTGACCGTCCCCCCAGCGCAACCTCTTCAGAGGAAACTGGAAAGTTTTGTTTGACGTGATTTATCGCATGTTGTATCTTCCTCTCCAGTAAATGCAGCAAAGCTCCCACTACAGTACTCTAAAGGTTTTCCTCGAATTTTCTCTAACAACACTATAAAAGGTGCACGTATTCTCTGAAAGCTTTTTCTCTCGGGCATCCCATTTACTAGGCTGTCGGAATACAAAAGTGGAATGAAATTTTCCCGACAGTTCAATCTTTATGTTATGCATTCTTCGGATCTAACAGGAGGATAGCGAAGCTTGTCCAGAACAATAATTCATTGGCTATTTCTCTGACAGCATATCAACAACAGAGTTTTCTTCAGTAACTAAAATCCTTTCCCGTAAAATATCTATTCATCTGCTTTGTCACGATCCTTCAGGGTCCTGACACAACTGCTAGAGTGCACTGACCCATTTCTAATTGACCTTGTTGGAACTTCTTGACCAAGCCCTATGCTTTCCATAACTGCAGAGGCCTTAATGAAGCCATTTTTCTTGACGCTTGTTTTCATCTGATATATATATCTTCGAGTTATCAACTTTTCCTCTAGAAAAAAGATATTTTCCTTTTTGCTTTGTCACATTTTGAAGATCTTCGCGTGAAATGTGAGCGTGAATGTGAAAAGTTGGTAGAGTGAATGTCAAAGAAGTTGAACGCGCGACGTCGGTCCCATTAGTCAATGCAGTAACATGTTTTCGACGTTCCGTGGTGGGAGAAGTAGCTCCAGAGCTTCTTCTTCGTCTGTTATTTGGGCGATTGGTGGAACCTTCAGTCAATGTCCCTTCGTCAACTGTTATCTGGGGGTTTGGTGAAACCTTCAGTAGAGTACTACCAAAGCCATTCAGCGACCATCATGCCCTCTTCTTATACATGCCTCATTCGAAAGAGGGGAGTCAATTGTTGTGGTTCTGTCGTATGCGTCTGGACCGGATTCAGCTGTTCAAAATTCACGATCTTATGAGGTTCCACCGAAAACATTGCAGTGTGGGCAACGTTATGAGGTTTTTGGCAAAACGTTTGAGGGACTCGACACGAGTAACTGAGTGCAGCAACCCTGAAGCTGCCCTATGTAAGCTCGTCTTGACTTAATCTCTGGGTGCCCTTTTTCCTCGAACTCAGGGGTGCTCACTAGCTGTTGACGATGCTGTCGATAGATGAAGCTAGCGATTTTCTCATCCTTGTTGAGGACTTAACTAGAACTCCTAGCTAGATGGAAGGGGTTGTGAAGCACAACTGATTTGTTCTGCCCAACTGCCTTCTAATGAGCTGACGTATCATCTTTTCTTTCCCGAAGTGATGGCCCTAAAGCCTACTTCGGCACCCTGTCACCTAGTGCTTGAGGTTCAAGAGCACTTCTTCTCTTATTTGGGAGTTTTCGCACTTTCCAGTGGCGATAGAACCGTCTCAGCATTGCTAATGGTAATGGATCTTTTTAAATGGCACCTTTATCAACTTTCCCTTTTTTGTTCCTCAATTTTCGATCAGCTTCTGACGTAGGTCGTTATTGTTTGACGTCGTCAGGCTTACAAGTGCATTCCAGTAGTGCTTGACAAATTCCAAATAAGGAGACCAAGGGCTTATACGCAAAAAAAAATACGACAACTGGCGTTCGCTAAGCCTTTTTCACATATACGTACTTTTGATGTCAACATAGTTAGGCCAAAAAAAAGTCCAAACGAGGGTTGTTTATATTCCAACTATCCAACTAAAAAGCTCTGGCGAAATTTGCTATGGCGAACAGTTGACTTATACGTCCTTTGAGGAGATATATTGCCTTCCTGAGCTCTCTGACTTTCCTCAGCTTCAAAAACTTCCTTTCTAGATTCCCGTACCGGACTAAAAACGGTGAAAGGGGGAATGGCTATCGCGAACCTCTACCTTGAATAGATATGAGTGTGTTTTTGGAAATTTCCCATCTTGTTCAAAGGGGAGGGGGGCTTCCGTGACGGCAAGATGCCTGGACTTCTGAAAGCCTCGGAGTAATCGAATAAGCTGAATTACCGCATTTTCAGAATATAATACTTGGCAGGGGTGCTTACTAAATGCGTTTTTCTAATATCATCATAATAGGGGTTGGCTTCTCATTGCTGCACGTCCAAAACTTTAGGGTTTCTGGTTGTTTCCGTTTTTAGGAACCTTATTTTCTCAATAGTCTACAAATGATTTTATGATCACTGCGACCTTTCAGTAGACTTGGGAAAATGTTGTAAACTACTTTTAAAAAGGGTTTCCACCAACGGGAAACTTTGCCATAGGAAAACATTTGAGTTATCAAGAGATTTTACAAGAAAAAACATTCTAAGATCTGAAGTGCAGACGGTGGCGCAGCAAGTGCCATTCCCCTTCAAAATGTCATTGTCAATTCACTACGATAGCCAGTGGTTGATTACGGTAAGAACTTAGGCAGTATTTTCTCGCTCAGAATCTACCGTACCCGTATCTTTGCTTGGGAGAGGTCTCCCTGATCCTTTGTTCAATTCGAAAGCATTATCTTATGGTTAGAAAAAAAAACGACTAGTGTAGGGGAGCTCTGACCCAGACAGCGTGGGGGCTGACAAGGGCACGGGTGTAAAGGATTGTTCCGTCAAGTTAAAATCACGCCCATGGCCACGTAATTCAGGGGACAACGACGGAAATAAATAAAGACCAACCAATTTCTTCAAATGGTACTGGACTCGACAGGGAAAAGCGGCCGAGAGTAAGGGCCCTGTTTTAACGACATAGGGCCCGCGGGTCTTTTTATTCAGTAGGAAGCATTCGAACGATTCCATCTGATACACATAGCGTTTTCCATCGCCTGGTATAGACTACTCTTCACCACAGAGTTTCCCGATTTTTGTAATGAGATGACTTTCATAACAATTGATGAAAACTCTTATTGAAATGTTTTCGACCTCTCCGGTATGTTTCTTTCTTTATATATGGGAAGCATCTAGTCTAAAAAAAAGCGGTGCCGAGGTATAACTAATACAACACCGATTAAGCTACAAAATAAAATCACGATGGAATGTAATTTCTAAAGTAAAAACAAACCATTGCGTATTACTTGATTTGATTATCGCCTCACTGGGCACTGATTACAAGCCCAGCCTAGGTTTCGGAGTAGATTGTTAGTGATAATCCCCGTTTTGTTAAACTTTGAGCTGATGCCTTTCCTTTGTGATCCTCCTCCTTTGCTCCAGAAAATGTTCCAAACAAACTGGCAGAACGATAATGAATTGAACCCTCTGAACCTGAATCTTGGCTTATGAATTGAATTTTCCTTTGAATAAGCAAATACTCCTTCTTCCTTCTCCGATCTCTTCATTGAGCTCTTGGCTCTCTCTTGACGACATTCGGAGAGCCTCTTCCAGCATCTCGTCTGTAGGCCTCTGATTTTTTTTTAGTCTTCCCATTGTAAGGCCTGGTTCATTTACATCTCCTGGTCCTATAACAGCATTATCCCTCTCATCGCCATCAATTGCTCCTCTGCTTGGCTCTTCTCGTTCCATATTCATTGTGGTTTCACTATTACAGTAACCAGTTCAGCAGTAATTTTGTATGGTTTGGGTCGGCCACTTGTAAAAAAAGGCCTCAAACCACTCGTTTATATCGGAACGTTTCGCCTTTTTTTTGTTAGGTTTCATTTTTTATTTATAATCCAATGCCACGGTCTCATGGCAACAGCCACGGCTACGCTAGAATACGATCCTGCTGTAATGATATCATGCTTACACGACTGCTGAGTATCACTGGCTTCCAACATTTTTTTGAACGACAAGCTACTGATTTTCTATGGAATTCTTTGATTCGAGCCATTGAAGGTTATAGTCGTAGGTAGTCCTACTCAGGAAGGAATCAATTCCGTGAAGCTCCCACCTATGCAGTTTCATTCTACCTAGCTTACTCTGGAAGAATTCCTTTCTTTCAGCATGCTCATGCGCGGCCTTAGCCGCGATCTTGAGTACAAGATAAGTTCCCAAGTATCGTTCCCGATTCAAGGCTTGAGGCCAGAAAGCGGCTGGGTAACTCAGTACATACTCGGTCAGGCAAATCTACGGCGGGGAGCCGAACGCCAGCCTCACCCATACGCCAATCGATAAGGCGCCAATATTCAAATCTGACCGGTACAAGGCGCCCCATCACCTCCTTCCTTTGCCAGGCGGCGGTGCGATGTGTTAGACTTGGGTCGGGGAACTTCTCCCTTGTCACGGCGTCGCACACGCCGCACCCGCCGCGTATCGCTGTATTGCGATGGAAGATTGGAGCGCGCAAT